CACACACACACACACACACACACACACACACACACACACACACACACACACACACACACACACACACTTTGGCAATTGGAGTTAAGTATATTGCCAAAGGAGACATGTTGACTGCAGGAGCTGGTGATCAACCCACCAACTTTCAGATGTTCTAACCACCACTCAACCTTCTGAACGGGTATAGTTCATTTCAAATCAATAAAAGTTATTCTCATCACGAGCTAAAGTTTTTTCAAGCTTCTCTATATGTCCCCCCCCCCTCACCTCTCCGCAGCATGTGCTCGCCCTGCAGCAGCTGGACGATGGCGGTCTGAGTGGCAGGAACCAGGATGATGCTGCCGTCTTCTCTGCCGCAGACCAGGCGGCCCTGGGAGGGGATGTAGACGCTGGCCGTCACCTGAAGGACACACACACACACACACACACACACACACACACACACACACACACACACACACACACACACACACACACACACACACACACACACACACACACACACACAAAAGGGTGATTAGTTTGCTGCAATTAAGGCCCGATATACTGCCATCTGAACTGATGCACCTCCAGATCTTTTTAGCTCAAGTAAGGAGTTCACAAATTCAATTTCAGAAAGGATATTGCAAAACAAAATAGGTATTTAAAAGAAAATGTGGAGCTATTATATATGAATATAAGCAACAGAAACAAATCGATTCCACCAGTGTGAACTTTCAACACGAAACGGCACAAAAGTACTTTTTTTACAGGACATTAACACCTGAAGTCCACCACATAGGAACATCTATACAAACTTTTATACATACAAAACGTTTTGAGGGTGCATTAATCAAACATTTTATTTTGATCAAGGACTAGAAATATAAGCGTTACAAAGAATGGTGCAACAATGAGTCCTTAAACCCCAATACGAGCACTTCTGTTTCCATCGTCTGGAAGTCATTGTTTTTTGGATTGTAATTTTATTTAGATACCTGAAATAACTTTGAGAAATGTTCACGTTTTGCGACATAAAACAAGTCATTTAGTGCTCCACTGGTGAAGGTCTGAGGCTTCTGTGAGTCAAATAAGCAGCTACTACTATTTAATGATATGACGCTGAATATTAGCCGCCTTTAGCTTAGGGGTTGTGACCGTGATGTTGTTCGTTTGTATCCTAACGTTGCTTTTTACTTCCAGAGACATGTAAGCATCAACAACTGTTAAGGGTGGTGTTAATATGTGGAGATTTTCCAGCTGAACAAACCGTGGAAGTATCATAAACGTGGGTTTGCAACAGAGTTTTTTTTCTTCAATAATCGAATATCCAATGGAAAAATGCCATGTTTTTTTATCAAGCGAGACGTCATTGCTGCACCACTCTGGTGTCTGGGTTCAAACCTTGATGGGTGCGTCTTGTCCAGGCAGGGCGCTGAGCTGGTCGATGATCCCCGAGGACACGGGGGACAACTTATCAAACGACTCCTGGAGACTGATGGTGGACGACACCTGCAGCTCTGCACAGAGGAAGAGAGAGGATAAGTAGTCATTTGTTTCTAGAACAGCATAAATACAGAATCAAATAAAGACGGTATCAAATAAAACATTAAAACTTAAACAAGGAGTAGAAAAGGGAAACATTCCGAGCCTTGTTCATTTATACTAGATGCCATTTTAAAGTTTAATTTATATTATTCAAAAAATGAGTCCTGTAAGCAGGGCCGGCCCTGACCAATTTGCTGCCCTAGGCCA